TCATTATAATCAAATCTTATTTGTTTATTTTTGTTAGATATTTATTTTTGAAACTGAAAATAAAATTTTGTTTTCTTAAGTAACTAAATTGAAAAAAATACAGTTATTGACATTTTTCGCCTTAGCGAATATTATTTATTTATTTTTTGAAACCTATATTTATAATGATATTTTGATATAACTCGACTCACATTCGTACTTCCATTTTATTAACTAGGGGATGCATTTATGGTAGTTTTATAATTTTCAATTATGCTTAATAAAATAGTCAAAACTTTCAATTTTCGGTGTTAAATTCTCATTTAGGATAAACAACACAATATATATATATATATATATATATATATATATATGTAGTGGATATAGAATATATATTCATTTCAGGTAGCAAATTTTCATTTTTAGTAGCTTTTTCAGAAAAAAAAACTTTAGGAGTAGCACAAAATAATGTAATTATGCTGCTATTTTGTGTATTGGATTTATATTTTTTGTATAAGTACCAATATTTTTTGTGAGACCATGCTTTACGTAGATGTTTAAATGAATTGATTTGGTCACCTATGTCACCAAAGGTCAAGGGTCCTGAGAAAACTTCACAGTTAAGCGTGCTTATGCTGGAGTAGTCAAAAGATGGATGACCTTCAGGGAAGTGGTTGTGGGAACTGAGTAAGTGAGGCCAAAACACAGGGAAAGATCATGTGGTGATTTGTAGGGTCTGTAAACAAGTATTCAAGTCTTCCCGATGTAACAAATCGACAGTCGAATATTGATTGGCTCATGTGTCTAGTGAGAGGACGTGATGTCCATTAAGAGCGGTGGACCCATTGGATGGTGGTGAATATGGGGCCCATTGTAGAGGTGATGGTCGGGGCGTTACACTGTTCTACTTTTAATATGTCCTTATAATATCTAAAGAGGTGTATGAAAACCCTTTTACTTTATTTTTTGGGTTAAATTAAAGGTCATTTTACTTGCACATTAGGTATATAAAGCACCAAAGGCCCAGATAGTCAAATAGAAGTATTGATGTTTGTGTATGTGTTTATAAATAAAAGAAGGCATATGCCATACCATAAAAATATTATTATTAATTTATTATAATTTCATAACTACATTTATTTAATTATTTCTTATGAAATATTCAAGTATCACTAACATAATGCTTGATAGATCACTAATAAAATTACATTTCTTAATAAGGAGTTGAGGTATTGGCTTGACTGTTAACAAACCATCACTACATGCATACATCTCTGGTCCGACACCACCAATTCTTGTGTTTAAACCATCATAGTCTTTAGCTGCCAAATCTTTAAGAGAATATTGATTATAATACAATGCACTATCATAATCTTCAATGCAAGTTGTATACATATTATGAGTACGAAAATCAGTTGTGTTGTCCGCAAACAATTTCAATTGCTTCATCGTATCTGATAAATTTCGAGACTGATAATTGATCAAATATTTGGTGAGACCAAAAAGATCTAATTTTGCAATTTCAGATGTTGGTTTTAGAACCTCGAAACAGAGTGAAGAAAGACGTTTATCTTTGGTGCAGATGGAGTTGATCACTCCTTTGGTAACCATAATACTAAATCTTGCATGTGATGAGACAGCAATAAGTAATACCACTATAAGAACCAATCTGATGTTATTTTTTACGGATGTAAACATTTTTCTATATGATGTTTGAGAACTTAGATGAGATTTATATAGGCTGAAACATATCTTCAAAATTAAATGCTAATAGATTATGTACTTATAGTAAGATGAGTTTTCAATGTTATATCTTTGACCAGAAAAAAGAATAGATAATGCTAATAAATTATATACCATAATTTTTTTAATGTTTTTTTTGTTAGTTTAGATATGCTAACTTTTGACGGAAAAAGGGCTTTTTCATACCTGCATAATTGCTCTGTGTTGAATTCATACATCTAACTATCCATTGTGCCTAAAAATACATTAACTTTAAAATAATTTGAATTCCATACCTAAACTTCAATTTTTGTGCCTTAACATACCAAAAAACGTGTTTATTGTTTAACTCTGTTAACTTTCCGTTTAGCCAATATGACGTGGCAGTCATGTGTGTAGAAGAAATCAAAACGACGTCGTATTTGTTGTCTGAATAAAAACAAAATTGCAGCATGCTAGGTTCAAACCCACAAACTCTAAGACACCATTAACCCCTTTCTAACCACTCAGCCATATGTAACTAATGTAATGTAGTAAACAAACATATATCATATCTTCTTTTCTCACTCTTGAATGGGAAAGAAGAAGATTGACGGAAGACAATATAATATATGTTTGTTTACTAGATTACAATGGCATTTGAAAAAAATATTTATTACCTTAAAAAAAATTATAACTTTTGACCGAAGAAAAACTAACACATACAGTATATTTAAACTGTTAATTTTATCTTATTCTTATAATATTTATTAGTTGAAAAATTAAATATGTAACATTAACAAAGAAAAAAAACATTTGCTTTAAGCCACCAATGATAAATAAAAGCGTAGGAATTGTTTATACAAGAAGTTTAACATTGATTAGTTGGCTTTGTACATGTTTAAATCAGCCACACGCAAGATTAAAATATTCTTGCACACTTCACTAATATGTTACTCATTTTTTTTCCTTTTAATTGTCTTTAATCTAGCTTTCGTTTGATGTCAAAAAAAAAAAAAATCTAGCTTTCGTTTAAAATTTTAGGTGTTTGGTGAAGTGGGAGAGAATTTTTTTTTTTCCATTTTCACTTATTTGTTTTTGGTATAATTCCCTTTCCTTAACAACAATGGCTTTTTCCTATGTTTGTTTTATAAATTTTAGTATATTAATAACAAAATTTAACATTAGTTTTTATATAGAAGATGACATTTGTTAAATACGTTTTAGGCCACAAAATTTCGAGGACCGGCCTTGTAGAATAGTATTAAGTGTGCCGATGTTCAAGTAAAAGTTGGAAATAGTAATTGTAATGGATATTTGTCCATTTTCTACATAATTTGTACGATGACAACAACTTTCCACAATCAGTTTACTGTATTAGATAAAAAGCGTTAGAATATCTTAAATAAGAACAATTAAAAAAAAAATTATTAACTTTTCGAGAAAACTTCATCCGTGCTGTAGCACGGATTATCTCCTAGTTAATATTAAACAATATTTAAGTGAAGCAAGAGTAAAATCACCGCTGAATGAATCCAAACCAAACTGCCAAAAAACTTAGAGAATGATCATCTAAAAGTTGTTCATGCGCTGAAGAATCACACGATCCAAACTTGCTAATTTAGCACTGATTAAAAGTTGAATTAATCTCCTTGACAATAACATGAGGTGGCTTTTTTCTATTATTCCATTACACATATATATGTGTATATATATATATATATATATATATATATATATCTTTCAATTGTATTGTTTGTCAAATCAGTGAGTTTGGGAATATATAGCTTATTGTATGCATGCAAGTTAAAGATGAGGTGAATTTGCACTACCGAACAAGGAAGAGGATCAGAGGACAATGTAAACGATGTGCTATATATTAATTATTACATTATTATAGCTAGTGAGCTTAGGTATTTTGTTCATGACATTCTCTATTTTATCAAATCATATATCGTACGTACAATGAATTAGGTGTTTGGTCCGAATACTTTTCATACGTAATAACAGATAAAATAAATAAAAATATGTTGTATATGATAAAACTCAACAGATAAAATAACAGATAAAATAAATAAAAATATGTTGTACGAAAAAAAACTCAAAAAAAAAAAAATTGTTTTTGTTTCTATTCTTAAGTAACTAAGTTGAATAAATTACTTATTGACATTTTTCGCCTTGGTAATTATTATAATGGTATTTTTATATAACTCTCCTATATTTATAATGGTATTTTTATATAATTTGACTCACATTTTAATGTTGTGTACTTCCATTTTATTAAGTAGGGGTTTGCATTTATGGTAATTTTATAATTTTCATTTGTGCTTAAGAAAAAATCAAAACTTTCAATTTTTGTTGTTAAATTCTCATTTAGGATAAACAGCACAATATATATAATTATGTAGTGGATATAGAAAATATATTCATTTCAGGTAGCAATTTTCATTTTTATTAGCTTTTTTTTCAGAAAAAAAACTTTAGGAGTAGCACGAAATAATGTAAATTTTTAACCCAAGAGAAAATATAATGGTATTTAAAAAAAAAAAATATTAGCTTACAAAAATTATTAGACAGAAGAGAAAACTAACACACATATTTTATTGTTAACTTTTCTCAACTTATTCTTATAACATTTTATTATTTGAGAAAAAAACATTTAGATATGTAACATTACAAGAACAAAGCATTTGCTTTAGGCCACCAATGATAAATAAAAGCGTAGGACTGTTTGTACACGAAGTTTACATTGGTGAGTTGGCTTTGTACATGTTTAAATGTCGTTAATTTTTGTTTCGTCATCATACAAATCTAGCTTTCGTTTTTACTTTTTAGGTGTTTGGTGAAGTGGGAGAGAATTTTTTTTTTCCATTGAATTATTAATTTTGGTTTTTATACATTTTAGTATTTGCTAACAAATTTTAACATTAGTTTTTTTTGTTTAGAAGATGTCAGTTTAAATATGTTTTCGGCCACAAAAAATTTCGAGACCGGCCTTGTAGAATAGTTTTAAGGGTGCCGATGTTCTAGTAAAAGTGGGATTAAAAGCTAAATACTATGTAGTAATTGTATGATGACGACAGCTTTCCTCAATCAATTTGATATGTTAAAGAAAAGGCGTTAGAATATTTTCCCTTTCATTGGTAATTTTGATATGCTAGTAGTTTTTAAAAGTACACTATATATAGATTTCTTTCATATAGAAACTCTCATTTTTAGGTTTGTGAATAACAGAAAATACAAAATCTATTTTTTACCAGTTTTTATCACACAAATTAATAACATTTATTTACTAACACATATAACATAAACACAAGTATTTAGAGTCCTTCCTCATAAGGCACAATGGTAGAATTAAGCCACAACTCACCATTAATAAGACTAGTCACTGTGAATTTTGATGCCTCCTTCGAATCAGTCATCAATTTGTGTCCTTGCCATTTAACCCTTCTTCTAGTGTCTGCCCCAGGACCCTTGTTCTCGTATTCACCAAAGAACAACGTCGATAAACGTCCAACATCGTTGTTCATAGGAATCCACCCACCCGGATCAATAAAATCATCTATGAATGACTGCATTATTACCACTCTAGAAAACTTTTTCCACGGACGTCCTAAGAATGATTTTACTGTTCCTTTGACCGGAGCTAGATCGGAGCTCGCTGTTATATTACACCTTTGAAGCGAGAAGCCAGAATTTCTGGTCGGATCAATGCGTCCTTGAGCCGTCAGCACATTGCTCTGTCCGTTTAGAGGCTTTCGTGCCACAATCTCACAATTTTGGAATATTGCGGCAGCATCCCCAAATATAAAGTCAATGGTTCCCGTGATGTAACAATCACGATAGAACTGTCGATTCAGCTGAGCGAAAAGCGTGTCCTGGTAGCCATCTATTCGACAGCGATAAAAGACAGATTGATCAGCATTTACGCGGAGAGCAACTGCTTGTTTCTTAGTCGGTCCAGCCGTGTTTTGGAACCAAATGTCTAGCGCCATAAATCCGTTAGCGTTAGTCGCTGTAAGAAGTATCAAAAATTTTCATTTTACCATGAATAATATTCTACTAATATATAGAAAAAAACAAAAATTTTACCAAGCGTAGCAGAATCCGTGATGGGGTATCCAAAACTTTTAAATTTTGGTTGAAAGGTCAATTTCTTTTAAGATAAGAAAGAAATAATTAAACGGACAAAAATGAATTAAGTAGACAAATTATACTAAATTACCAGATCAAGCAGGAGTTTACCAATTAAAAAAAAATGTTATTTTCTCTTATATGATCTAAACGAGTTTATATACAAAGTATGTAGTAATTAGTTCTGTTGGTTTCGCAGGCCAGTCACTATCTTTGATATCATCGGTTTCCAATTAATACTTTTTGATCATTTTTGTATAATACACAAACTAAGTAACTAACCATTAGCTATAAAGTTACAAAAACATTTTAATGCGGATGTGAAGCAATAATTCTTGCAAATTGCGTTATATGGTTTTAATAGAACTAAATAATTTGCATTTTGTTACCTATCAAAACATAGCACTAGGAGTCTAGCTAATAGATAGGAGGACTAAGAACAAAAGTGATATTCCATAGAGTGAAGATTTACAAGATTATGTCAAGAGTTTAAGGGATCTTCCAACTTCGATCCCATTTGCTCAGATCCAAGGATTACTATTACCATCTTGAGATCTTTACATGAATCTTCTTGGATCCTCTGCTCTCAGTATTTGTGCATCAAACTCCTCAGTGAAAAAAACCACTCTAACATCTCTCACTGCTCAAAGATTCAAAACGAACAAAAGAACATGTAACCAAGAACATCATTAACAAACATTCAAAACCACTCTTGGTTAGAAAAACATGCAGAGCCCGGCCCGGCCCGGCCCGAAAAATTTGGTAGATACAGTAAAACCTCTATAAATTAATAATGTTGGGACCATGAAAATCTATTAATTTATAGAGGTATTAATTTATCGATAAATTAATAATTATTAATTTATAGAGAGATATTTCTAATTTGGAAAATATTTTCAAACAATATTTAAAAATAAGATTTAATCATGATAATTAGTATTTTATATATTCAATTACAAATAAAATAATAATAATTATGTATTAAAATAGAATGCTAACTATTTTTCATATAGTAAAATATTAGAAATAAAATCTAACAAAAACTAATGTGTTTATATATACATATATTTTGAAAATTTTACCTAATTATTAATTTATAATTTTGATGGGACCATATATTTACAAAGGATTTTCAAAAAAATTATTATCTTATTATTTTATCGAAATATGTCTAAAATTACACTGGTCCCAACTTGGGACCGGATAAATTTATTAATTTATAGAAGTTATTAATTTATCGAGTATTAATTTATAGAGGTTTTACTGTATATAAAGGTTACAAGATTTTGGTAGATATATAAAGGTTACAAGATTACATTCATTTAGCTCACATAAGACTAAACTCAAATCAAGTACTTGGAATTATAATTAACTCACAATATTCCCTCAAAGATAGATAAGTTAATTAACTTCTTCACAACTCATAGTCCTTTGGATTTATAAGAGCTGAGTGATAAGCCACTTCACGTGTATACAATAGGAGAAGAAATGGAACAAATACAGCACGTGTAGAGTTTTTTTTTGTCTCAACTTCAACTATTCATTAACCAAAGGATTACATCCAAATTCAAGGTACATTACATTCACCTCTATAGAATTGGACCAAACGCAATGGGATGATCTAGTAAAACCCTGAATCACTAGCGGATCCAACGCTACCTGATCGAAAAACCATTGCATGTTTTTAACCACAATGAGATAGATAACACTCCACAACTCTGAGTGAAATCATCTCTTAACCACCTAAAATTACCCTTTAATACGAAAACAACTACTAATACAGAGAATACCAAAATCTATACTAAAGATCTAAGCAAATCCAAGCTATTAGAACCTCTTGATCGGCGTGTAGGACTTGTCCAAATAGCATCAACACCAAAAGGTGCATCATCAGAAAGACTTAGATTCTCCAGCTTTCATTGTTTCGATCCTAATACAGATCGTGCAGAGTTTATTAAGATAGTCAAGCATTATAAAAGGGAGTCACGAGTACACTTTTTTAAGTTTTAAACCGATTCTGTTGTGCACTCAAGAAAAGAAAATAAAATAACAAGAATCTCTCTTCTTCTTCTTCTTCGTCTTACGAGTCACGTATATGGTATTGAATTCATCTTGGATTGGATGGATATAATAACCAAAGGACGTGACTAAAGGATACATGGAATTTAAACTAATAATAATATCCCCATGATAATATCGTTTTTGACGACAATACTTTTAAAACCATTATTATTGATGATTTCTTAACAAAATTTTAAGTTAAGATTTCTTAAAAAATAAATTTTATATAAAAAATTTTAAGTTAAAATTTATTAAGAGACCATCAATTATAATGATCTAACGGTGCCAAACAAAAACTTGGATCGAGATTCATCGCAAACGGTAAAATATACTATAGCTCAACATCATGAAATTCTTAGTAGTGAGTGACTTATTAATCCAAATTACTTCAAAGATTTATTAACTCATATTGACTTAATAATCTTTATTACTACAAATAATCTAAATTAGTTAGATTATTATCATATTAGTCTTTTATAAAATAATTCAATACAAGAAAACATATATTTCCGATGAACAAATCAGGTTTTTGACAATATCAAAATTTCTCAAACTTTATTTATTTATTTATGTGCGTATATATAGGATAAAAGAAAGCAAAATAATAATCTTTGACTAATATGTAATCTACAGATTAATTCGGATTAATTGTAACAAGCTTGGAATAAATCTAGTGTTTATAGATAATATAATAAACTACAAAAAAAACTTTTAAATAAGCGAGAAACTTAAAGCATCTTCATTAAAGACACCAAGTGAATAAAATACATCAACATACAAGAGTGTATGCTACAAAACTCACCAAACTTGAGTCCGGGAAACCAATGTACAATCCAAAGATCAAGCTAAGGTTTTACAACTAATTGATTTCTTACCTCTTTTTTAATTCGTATTTGTAGTTCAAAATATGAACATTTTTTTTTCAAGATTCGAAAAGTTAAGGAAATCTATGTATTTTTAAAAAATTTCTCAAAAATAAAATCATCTTATCACTTTATATAATTTAAAAAAGTTTGGCAAAGTCATCTTTGGTGCAAAAATCAACGCATGAGATTGTCTGACACCATATATGCCGGTAACATTGTCGTTGGTTCTGAATAGGCTTATTGTGCCTGTGTAGTAATATTAATGAGCCTTCTTGCATTGAAGAAGTAGTAAGGCCCATTTGTATGTAAAGAATAAACTTTTTTTTTGTATATTAAGTGGCTATATTTTTGAGAAATGCTCTTAAATACCATTAAAATTGGTATTTTTTCAAAAATACCATTATGATTTTTTTCCCAAAGTACCACTAAATTAAAATTTTCCAAAATTACCACAAAATTAAACTTAAAATTTTAACATTCAAAACTAATTTCTAAATCTTAAACACTACAACCTACCCCTAAAAACTATACCCTAAATGTAAATAATCAACCTAAACATAAAAATAATAATTCTACATTTTCAAAATTCAATTTTTTATGTTTATGGCATTTTTGGAAAAATAAAATTGTGGTATTTTGAAAAAAACAAATGGTGGTATTTTTGAAAAAAACACAAATTGTAATATTTTTGAAAAGAAAACACAAATTGTGGTATTTTTGAAAACAAAACTTAAAGCATACAATCCATGGAAGTTTCTCTATATTATTTTGGGTGTGATTCTAACTGTAAGAAAACAAAATACATATGAATAAGTAAAATTCCATCTTTTTTGTATATTTTACCTTTCTTTTTCTGAAACAAATTGTAATTTTGTTAGGTAATTAAAATATAAATTTACAATTACTTTACTTTTAATTTTTAATATATGTAATCTTCTATATTTATTTACTTTTAAATCAGTATTATCTATTAGTTAAAAATAATTACCGGATTTATCGACATTCAATTTTAATGTAAAAAAGAAAAGAAAATAAAAAGTCTAATTTCCTTATTTTTGTTATTTTCTATAAACCTAATTGTGGTATAAAAACGTTCTTAGCTCTAAGGAAGAAAAAACAAAAAGCTCAAACACACAACAAAGGCTACGAATCTCTTATTCTATAAATCTCTCTCTTGCTCTCTTATTTGTGCGTATCCTCTCAAATCATCTGATCAGATTCAATGGCGAAGGAATTGGCTGATAAAGCTACAGAAGCGTTTCTTGAAGATGACTTCGATGTCGCTGTTGACTTATACTCTAAAGCCATTGACTTGGAACCCAATTGCGCCGCCTACTTCGTCGATCGTGCTCAGGCTTACATCAAACTCGAGAACTTCACTGGTATGTAATCACTCTTCCTTCCCCATGGAATCACTGCGAAAAGGTTGAAACTTTATTACACAATTCGTCTTCCTCTTGCGTCGTTGACGCTTTTGGGGTTTTGGGTTTGCGTTTTGTTTTCAGGTTTCTTGATTCGATCTGTTCTTAGTGTAATCAAGTTATTGGTTTAGTTTAGTTTTAGGGTTTTCTTTTGTGAGATGTGTTGCTTTGAATCGGATAAGAAAACTTAATTGCTTTGACGTATTGTAATGTTTTGGTTATTACCTGGTTCTTGCTTGAGGTGTTTAGTATAAAAAGGCTTGCTTTTGAGGTGTTTATAGTATATAAAGGTTGAATTGTTGATTGCTTTAGTTATTCTTGGTTCTTGCTTAAGTGATCTGATATAGTTTTCTTTATCTGTTGTGGTTTGTAATGAGCAGAAGCTGTTGGAGATGCGAACAAAGCCATTGCGTTAGAACCTACATTGGCAAAGGCCTACCTCAGAAAGGGGTATGATATTATCATCAGATCTCTGTAGTTAAAGTTTGATGATTATTTGATGTTGTATTGAAATTTGATTCTTTGATGTTGTATTGAAATTTGATTCTTTGATGTTGTATTTGCAGCACTGCTTGTATAAAGCTAGAAGAGTATAGTACTGCTAAAGCAGCCCTGGAGAAGGGTGCTTCTGTTGCACCAGATGACTCAAAATTTAAGAAGATGATTGATGAATGTGATCTTCGCATTGCAGGTATGTTTTGTAAACTCTATAGCTTAAGGCTAAAAGTACTAAACGGTTTTTCATTATTTGTGTGCACATAAGTTTAGATTTACAATATAGTCTTTCTAATCCATGTTCAGAAGAAGAGAAAGATTTGGTTCAACCAGTGCCACCAAGTTTGCCTTCAAGTTCTACAACCCCACTAGCTACAGAAGCTGATGCTCCTCCAGTTCCAAGTCCTGCAGCACCTGCCAAACCCATGTTCAGGTAGTCTGATTATCGAAATTGTAAATTCTTATAGAATTTTTGAGAATCACTCTATACTCACAACTTGATGTCTCAACAGACACGAGTTCTACCAGAAACCAGAAGAAGCAGTTGTGACAATTTTCGCCAAAGGAATACCTAAGGAGAAAGTAACTGTCGAGTTTGGTGAGCAGATTGTAAGTATCCTGCAATAAGATGAATCCATGACTTTTAATTGAAACTGTGAACCTAATATGAATTATTATCGCACACTCTGTACTGACTTGAGATATTTTTTGGACTTTTTTGTGCAGCTGAGTGTTGTAATTGATGTTGCTGGAGAGGAAGCTTATCATCTTCAGCCGAGATTGTTCGGGAAGGTAATATTAATTTGATAAACGAAATGTTATTGTGTTTACATATGCACTTTGCTAAAAATTTCTTCATGGAATTATTCAGATTATTCCAGAGAAGTGCAGATATGAAGTATTGTCAACCAAAGTCGAGATCCGTCTTGCAAAAGCAGACATAATCACTTGGGCCTCCCTTGAATATGGCAAAGGGCAAGGTGTTCTGCCCAAACCCAATGTCTCATCAGGTTCATCTCAGAAGATACCATTCTTAGCCTTTACTTTACATATTCTGAATCAAAATTATACAACCTTGAACAAAACTGAAGCCAAAGTGGTCTCTCATCTCATTTATTTTTATGTGTTAATATGTAGCGGTGACGAACAGACCAGTGTACCCATCTTCTAAGCCACCTAAAGACTGGGACAAGCTGGAAGCTGAAGTGAAGAAACAGGTCCCTATCTTTACTCTAGAAGCTTTGCTTTACTTTACTGAATTCTTTATGCTTATCACTTTCGATTTTTAAATTTTGCAGGAGAAGGATGAGAAGCTTGATGGAGATGCAGCTATGAACAAATTTTTCAGCGATATATACTCAAGTGCGGATGAGGACATGAGGCGAGCTATGAACAAGTCATTTGTGAGCAAATCTAATCTCTTGTCTCTAATTTTTGGTTTAATAACGTTGTCCTTTGGTTTTGACTGATGATACGCCTGCACGGGTGGTTTTTGCGTTTGACAGGCAGAGTCGAACGGGACGGTACTGTCAACAAACTGGAAAGAAGTTGGGACTAAGAAAGTGGAGAGCACTCCACCAGATGGCATGGAGCTCAAGAAGTGGGAGTATTGATCTTGTTAAAATCCTCTTTTCAGGTTTTTTGTCAAAAAAGTCTGACAAATCTTTTGAACTTTTTAAGGTTTCTTATGTCTTTTGCTTGAACTTGTCTCTTCATTCTTGCGTTCTGGTCTTCAAAGTCTACTAAACTCGCAAGTCTGTTTTTCTGTACCTTTTTCTTTTATGGAGACATTTTTCAAAACATTTCTTGCATTACTGTCTAAAAGGTTAGATGTATAAACCCAACTTTCTTCAGTTGAAAATGCTGTGTACATTTTCCACAATATTACAAAACAATCTAAACAAAATATAATGTTGCCTCAACCAAACGTAACAATAAAACATCTAACAAAACAAACTGTCGCCTGAAAAAATTCGAACCCATTGGCTTCACTCTTTTCTTGATTCCCCCACATTGGTATGAAGATCTTAACGACCCTTTCCACCCTGCAAAAAAAGTTAACCTATCAACCTAATATCTAAACAGATCATATACTAGGGAGATAGTATATTTTTTACCTTATGAGGTGGGGTTCCTGGTCTAGGAACATTGTTGTTGAATCCAAACCGTCCTTTCTTCTCAGATGCCTTAAGGATTTGGAATGAGCATGTCAAGCTATCATCAACACTCATCAATGCGCCAGCATTGTCAAACTCGCCACAGTAATTGGGTGCAGAGAATATTGTCACCAGTTGTCTCTTTGCAAAGAACTCGTATCCATCTTCCACAACCTGTACAATCAGTAGTTAGAAAAAATGAATTGGTGAACAAACTATAGACCGTTGCACTAAAGATACTGCCCATGAATGTACATGCATCCTAATATCAGCAATTCTATACATAAATTTGATATGGTTTGACAACTAAATTATTGCTTTCTTAACTATCTGAAATCTTTACAGATATGGTTTGACAACTAAATTATTGCTTTCTTAACTATCTGAAATCTTTACAGATATGACCAAACCAATCCATAGAATTAAAGAGAGAATCCTAGGAACGAATTCTAGAGCACCCCCCAAAATACTAAGTATCGCCAAACATCATGAGCAATTTTTATTTAAACTTAATGAAGGAACTTGTTAGTGTAGTTTAGGTTTACCTGATGAGCTCGGCAGACAAGATCAAGGTCATGAGTTTGAAGGAACTCAGCAACTTTGTCAGCCCCGAACGTGTATGAGACACCTCTGTCATTCTCCCCCCAGCCTTCAATTTCTCTGTCAGGATCAGCCCATAACAAATCACAAAGGATTCCTTGATCAGGAACATCAACAGGACGAGGAATTCTCCTGATGTCATCTAAGCTCTTAATATCAGGCGATAGTCCACCATGCATGCAGAGGATCTTATCATCAATGAGAGCAGAAACAGGCAGACAGTTGAAGCACTCAGTGAAAGTTTTCCATAGGCGGACATTGTATCTTCTTTTGCATTCATCGTAGAATCCATACACACGGTTAATCGAAGCACATTCGTGATTGCCTCTAAGAAGAAAGAAGTTGAACTTGTATTTGACCTTATATGCAAGAAGAAGGCATATTGTCTCTATGCTCTGCTTACCACGATCAACATAATCCCCGAGAAATAAGTAATTTGCAGCTGGCGGATAGCCACCATACTCAAACAACCGCAAGAGATCTGGAAACTGTCCATGAACATCTCCTGCTCATTAACATAAAAACTTAAAATTGTCAACAATTATAAATCACACAGTTCATAGCAGCAGAGAGGGTTTAATGTAATGTAAGGATAGTTCAGTATCATACACCAAATTCAGACACTAACCAAAACTATTAGCCATCAAAAGAACCTTTTTGCTATTCCTTATAAAATCACATGTCAGGGGAGATTCTAATTTCAGGTTACAACACATCAGAGCTAAAGCAAACATTGTTTCTCAAAGACTCACAAATGTTACAGGTCACACTACAGCTACTTGATGTGGCAGAGCTCAAAGAGCTAAGATTAAACCTCACATAAAAAAATGAAATTTTTTCAAAAACCCACAATACAAAAACGAATTTAAGATAACTTAAACAGAGAGAAACAAGCAAAAAATTCTAATTCAGTAACATTTACCACAAATCTTGATAGGAGCCTCAAGCTCAAGCAGATTAGGCTGGCTGAGAAAAACCTCTTTAGAAGCCAAACATAGCTGCCGTATCTCCGCCTCAGTAATCTGCGCTTGCTTCACCGTCCTTCCATTATTCGTCGCCAAAAGCCGCCGTATTATATCGTCAAGTAAAGTCTCGTCCATCGAAAGCAGCAACCACAAAACCCTAATTACTCTCTCTCTCTGTCTTTTACTCAAAAACAAAATTAGATACCGGAAACTTCTCGGCTGAAGAAACCAAAGAGATCCGACGATTTATTTAACCGCCGGCGTCTCTGGGTTTTCGTATCGTTGACGGAGAAGAAGAAAGAAACAGAGAGAGTTAAGTAGAGAGAGACCCCCAAATTTGTAAACCCTAGGATTTTCTTTTTAATAAAGGCGGTAATTTTCATTTTTAATCATCCACATAAACTTAAAAGCCAAAGGAGCGTGAGGAGCGCGGCCTTAACATCCGCACGTGACAAGTTCTCATCCGCACGTGCGATTGTTGTTGATTAGTATGCTTACGACTCCGGTTATTTGGGTTCCAGGACCAGGACCATATGTTGGTTCTATTCAGGTTTAGTTCGGTTTTGGACAAATAAATTTTAATAAAATATAATTAGCTTTAATTAATATTATAGTTTTAATATATTTTTAAACTTATTTTTTGATTTTCTATATATACGGGCAGTTCGTTTCAACGCTGCAGCTAGTTGCAGTTGCGGCGGACGCAAGTAATAATATTTGTTTGGTCACCGAAGGAGCTATGTCATAACGCAGCGTTCTGTGGCGAGAATTTTGCAACGTCTGAAATTTTATTCAGCGGTGGTCATTGAAATGTTGCGTTCAATCTAGGAATTAACAAAAACACCCTTGTTCAATGTTTTACAAATCCTAAACTTAAGAGAAGAAGAACGTACGGCGAAGAAGAGAAGAACAACTCCAGATTCGATTTCTCTGCTCCTCTGCTCTCATCTTTGTTCTCTTGGTAAACTATTCTGGATTTTCTTCTATAATTTTCTCCATCTCTGTTTTAGCATAGATTGATATTAGTTGATTGTGTTGTTTTGATGGGTTTTGCTTTAATGGTGTAATGATTGATGAGAGTTTAGGATTGGAAGAATTGTATATTGACTCTCATAAAGATGATGTTACAATATACAAGCATATATATAGGAATAACATTTAACCTAGTTTCCTAACTAAAGAGATCATATAAAATATATACAAATCGTTAATATGATTGTGAAAGATATTTACATATCTTCTAGATATCCTCTTATACGCCCCCTCAATTTCAAGGGGATAATGAAGAAACAACGAAATTAGCGGCTTGAGATTGATTTCGATTATTATTAGTCATGTGTACACTTTGAAGAAGCTAAGGAGCGTTGCTCGTGGGAGATATTGTTGTTAACGATGGTGATGAGCTATGAAGATGCTGATCAAGGTGGTGTGGACGACGGCATGATTGGTGATCAACCTTTGTCTTAGGAAGAAGAAGAAACCGATGTTTTTTTTTTTTTTTTTAATAAATAAAGCATTATTGAAAGAAAAATATTAAGAAACTGCTTAAGAAAAGAAAATGTGAATAATTTTTTTTTTTTTTTAATGGCTTGATTCAGATGTTTATCCGAAGCATGAGTGATCGTGTTTTTATTTTTTTTAATAATAAGAAAAATAAAAAGCAGATTCAGAGGTGTATGATAAACATGAATAAAGAAAAAACTTTTTTTTTTTTTTTTTTTTTTTTAAAGATTCAGATTCAGAGGTTCATAAAAAAGCATTTGTACCTTAGATTCAGAGGTCTATGGCATAGACTTGAATGAAGAGAAGCACGATGGCTTAGATTCAGAGGTTCATGATGAACTTGAATGGAAGAAGCACTTGGCTTAACAAAAACAAAAATAAAAGAAAACGAGTTTGACTGTTAGATCAAAACTCGGGAGCAACCTGCTCTGATACCATGTAATGATTGATGAGAGTTTAGGATTGGAAGAATTGTATATTGACTCTCATAAAGATGATGTTACAATATACAAGCATATATATAGGAATAACATTTAACCTAGTTTCCTAACTAAAGAGATCATATAAAATATATACAAATCGTTAATATGATTGTGAAAGATATTTACATATCTTCTAGATATCCTCTTATAAATGGATTGAGATTATTTGATTATGTTGCTTGTGTGGCTAAAGATCTCGGATTTTATATCTGAAATATGTTCTGGAAACTAGACAGCAAATCTTTCCATTAATATAAAGATAGTTTTCTGGTTCTATTTGGTTTGATAGAAAATTGCTTTCAAAGTTGACTGTTTGTGGTGTTGTGTCAATCCGGTTAATGTGTCGAAAATTTGTTCATAACTTTTAATCCGGAAATCCAAATCAAGATCTGTTTTTTCTGTGGCTTTGTATGTTTGTTGTGAATCTTTCCACCAATTTTCATAATAATCTGGGTTGTTTAGGCACTCTTTTTGTACTCTGCATCAAGACTTTGTACTTTGCATCAAGATTCAAGACAGTGCCTCTCTCTTTCATAATTTACGTTTACCACCACCGGCGGTGATGAAACGAACATGGCCATTATTACATTTTTTGTCACTTTTATGAAATGGTTCGGTTTGATAAAAATGTATCGTTTGATCATTAAAAAAAAATCCGTTTCTAATAATTTTGTCCATCCTTAGTTTATGTATCAAATGTATTATGAAAATTTTGTTTGTTTCTTAATACATGGATGTTATCAGAATTAAAATTAAATCCCAATATCTTGTAATTCAATTAATACTTTTAGATTATGCTTCAAAATCTCGCCTTATTGGATCTTATATTTGTAAATTATGGTTAATTTTGAAAAAGTTTAGTATCATTTCAATTATTTTTTTCAGATACTTCATTACAACTTCAAAGCATAGAGTTATTCAAAACTAAAATAACTTCAAAAGTATATTTATATTGAGTCATTCAAAATGAAATATCTTGAAGTTTCATGAGTAAATTATTAGAAATAAAATCTAAATACATGGTAGAGATTTTGAAATTCACATTAATAATATCAAATTTTAAAAATGTTTAATAATATTAAAATTTATGTGAAATATATACATATAACCAAAACTCATCATGTACAAAAAAACCTACTGATAATATTAAAATTTATGTGAAATATATGCGTATCTGTGAATTTTTTTAATATATTTATCGTCTATTTATATATTTTGCGTACGTTATAATTTATTTAAAATAGTATTATATACTTTTATATGGTAAGAAAATAAATGTTTACACTTGTACTGGTATATTTAGTATGGAAAAAATATCTATAGAATGTTTTATACGCAGAAAAAAAAAAGAATGTTTTTATATTTAAAATAAAACTTGTTTTTTTAATAATTTTCGTTCATGGTTCAACTCTGCTTTGATTGGTTAGCGCAATAACATATTTTTTTATTTTTTTGTAAACAATTCAAAAAAAAGTTGTATATGTATTCACTCTTCTCCCTCCTTTGAGAGGTCTCTTCTCCTCCCCCAACCAAATTCGAAAATGTCAATATCATTTTCCGGCGGGACTCAGGACGAAGATCGTTGGGGATCCGATTTAGCTTCCGCCGGAGAATTCACCTCAAGCTCTCCATCGTTACCAATTACCGCACCATACTCACCTTCCTCCTTTGGCGAAGAGCTCGTAGAAGTAACAATCGAATTCCCAAGCGGCGTATTACTAAACATCGACTCCGTCACCACCACCGATCCAGAGATCACCTCTTGCTCTGCTTCTAATAACTCAGGCTCAAGGTCTCGTAGCTTAGGGTGGAGCGCGTCGTCTAGTCATCGGATCTCCGAGCTTACGGTGGAGAAAGCGAAAAAGTTCTCGAGAGATTTGAAACAGAAGCTTCATAAGATCTCGTTAGGCTATTCGTCTCGGTCTGCGCCAGAGCCGGTTGTTCCTAATGTATCTGAAGTTACAGATCATGCTCTGCTTTGTCGATCTTTAACACAACGATTCACCAATAGGATTGGATTGTGTACACAGAGAGCGATTCATGGTTTGAAATTCATAAGCAGTAAAGATAATGGAATCGCGAATTGGAGACAAGTTCAGGACAATTTCGTTAATCTTTCCAAAGATGGTTATATTTCTCGAAGTGATTTCGCTGATTGCATAGGTTTGAAACAATGATTTTTACAAATTTTTGTGTGGAGATTTTGATATATCTGATTTGGTTTGTTTTGTGTTGGAACAGGGATGGAGAATGAGAATTCGAAAGAGTTCGCAGAGGAGTTGTTCGACGCAATGTGTAGGAGAAGGAGATTAATTGTTGACAAGATCAATCTTCAAGAACTATATGAGTTTTGGTATCAGATTACAGACGAAAGCTTCGATTCTCGCCTACAAATCTTCTTCAACATGTATTAAAATCACTTCTTCAACATGAGTTTTTAAGGTTCTTGATTTGGTTTTGTTTTTTTAACATTTGTATTATACTTGCAGGGTGAAAAATGGAGATGGTAGAATCACAGAGAACGAAGTAAAAGAGGTGACTTAATGTTCAAAATCTTCCTATATTTAGTATTCTAATCAGCATTGAATCGTTGACTACGTATAATGAATCTTACATGTGTCCCATTATCTTATGTTGTTTAGTATTGTAATGTCCCTCTTGCTGATTTGTTTTTTTGGTCTTTGATATAATTATTTCTTATGTCTCCTTTTCTAACCAATGCAAGAATAGAAAAATTTGTGAGTTGCTATTTGTTTTCTGCATAAAATTTTGAATTGACCTTGTAGAAGCAGCTTTCTAAGTTCTAACTACCAATCAAAGATATGATTTTTGTATCTAACCACTAAGTTTACGTTGAATCTTTCTATTTAGAAGCTTCTTTTTTTGGCTTTTAACATTTTCTTTGATTTTGACAACCTATAGATCATTATACTAAGTGCATCAGCAAATAATCTATCAAGGTTGAGACAACGAGCTGAAGAGTATGCAGCACTAATCATGGAAGAACTGTCCCCTGATGGGCTTCACTCTCAGTACATAGAGGTGGTTCCATCACTTTTTATCTCTCATCATGTGAAAGGTCCTTAAACAAAAACATGAGATAGTATGTAGATCAGTCCCTTTCTATGAGGGACAGTAGAAGGGTTCTTTGTTAAGTTTGACCTTAAGTAATTGATGACGATGTTAAGCTCTCCTACCTTTAAAATTCTCTGATAGGGACATTTGACTAAGTCACAAAAAAATGAAATTAAAACTATGTATACTATTACTATGCAAGTTTGTTTTTGTATAGGACTTGTAAGTTGTAATAGAATAAAACCTTGACGAAGCAAACAAGTAGAGGTTCACAAAGAGAGCTCAAGCTAGTGGTATAGTGACGTTTAAGTCTATGATTAAGAGTTTAGATAACCTTAAGAGTAATAGTAACAAATATTTTCTGAGAGCCTGCCCATTTTTTATGAATTGTTTCTCTGAGTGGCTATGTGAGACTTACACAAAATGGGTAGTAGGATACTATTTGAACTCGTAAGTATTAGACAGGGGAGCTCTGTTCAACATTCTAATTTGATGTAAATAATGCAGTTAAAGGACTTAGAGATGCTACTACTAGAGAAGGACATATCTCATAGTAACAGCCAACCGTTCAGCCAGACAAGCCGAGCATTAAGCCAAAATCTAAAGGATACAAGATGGGGAATAAGCAGGAGCTTGCTTTACTCTTTGCAAGACAATTGGAAAAGGATTTGGGTTTTGACATTGTGGTTAGTGATCATGGCCTGGTTGTTTATGTGGAAATGTGTTCAGTACAAACGCAAAGACGCATTTCATGTAATGGGTTACTGCCTTGTCGTGGCAAAAGGTGCAGCTGAGACTTTGAAATTCAACATGGCTCTTATACTTTTGCCGGTCTGCAGAAACACCATCACCTATCTCAGATCCACCACTATGTCCTATGCACTTCCTTTTGATGACTGCATCAATTTTCACAAGGTTAATCAAAAACCATTTTGTCCTGCCTTATGTATGAGAAAGACTATATATGCTTCAACTAAATCTTACTTTCCGATTTCTCGGTTCTGCACAGACCATCTCTATAGCAATCATTATGGCAATGCTTCTCCATTCATGCAGCCACCTTGCCTGTGATTTCCCGAGGATTCTAACATCTACTGAAGCTGATTACAAAAGATACTTGGTTCATTACTTTGGTGTGACCAAACCTACATACTTTGACTTGGTGAACACTCCTGTGGGAATCACTGGGTTCATAATGGTTACTTTTATGCTAATCGCATTCACATTAGCCAGTCGAAGATGCAGACGGAACCTTACTAAGTTGCCGAAACCATTTGACAAATTAACCGGATATAATGCCTTTTGGTATTCACATCACTTGCTTCTAATGGTTTATGTCCTTCTAGTTATCCACGGTGTTTCCCTCTATCTTGAGCATAAATGGTACCGCAAAACGGTAACTTCCTTTTAGATCATTACCATTTTACTTTTCGCGTTCTGAATTATCGGTGATAATAACAGATGCTGCCTCCTGCAGATATGGATTTATCTTTCTGTGCCAGTTTTACTCTATGTTGGGGAAAGGATACTTAGATTCTTTCGTTCAAGGCTTTACACTGTTGACATTTGCAAGGTATGTCTTACATATATCTTTGTTATCATGCGACATCGAAGTAACAAATAGTCTTCTAATATCTTTATACCAACTCAAATGATTTGGTTTCAGGTTGTAATTTATCCGGGAAACGTTATTGTGCTACGCATGTCTAAGCCTACATCATTTGATTACAAGAGTGGACAGTACATATTTGTTCAGTGTCCTGCAGTATCAAAATTTGAGTGGTAAGCCCTTTTTTGGTGAGCCAACACAAGCATTATATAAAAAACCATGTTCTTTGACTTCACAAAGACTAACTCAAAGCTCCTTGGTTCAAAAATCCATCTCCAGGCATCCATTTTCTATTACTTCTTCCCCTGGAGATGATTATCTCAGCATCCACATTCGTCAGCTGGGTGATTGGACTGAAGGTATTAAAAAGGCCTTCTCAGTGGTATGTCAAGCTCCTGAAGCTGGAAAAAGCGGACTTCTCAGAGCAGATGGACCAATCCAAAGAAGGTACATAAAACGTTTTCGAATTCCATATCTTATTAACTTGCAGTCTCAGAATATGTATTTTGATATGCTTCTCTTGAAATTTAGTTTGCCAGAGCTGTTGATAGATGGACCTTATGGCGCTCCAGCGCAAGACCATTGGAAGTACGACGTGGTATTACTCGTTGGCCTTGGAATCGGCGCAACACCTTTCATTAGCATTCTGAGAGATCTACTCAACAACATTGTTAAGCAACATGAACAAGCTGTGAGTATAAAACTGATCATAAAACTCTTATTGAGTATTTATTAATACAGAATCTTTAACTAACCAAACTTTTTTCGAGTTTATGTTATATTTCTAGGAATGCATATCAGGTAGTTGTAGTAACAGCAACATCTCCTCGGATCACAGTTCAAGTTGCTTAAACTCGGAATCTCGAAATAGAAGTCCTCAAAACCAAAGGAAGACACTGATGACCAAGAACGCCTACTTTTACTGGGTAACACGAGAACAAGGCTCGTTCGATTGGTTCAAAGAAATCATGAACGAAATTGCTGATTTAGATATAAAGGTAACAAACACTTACCCATGTTCATTCAAAGTCTAAGTAGAAATAATGTTAGAAAAACCATATTTGAGACCTTAAGGTCTAAAAGATTGTTACAGTTTAAAGTTGATTTACTGATGTATTTGTCTTGTGAAACAAATTAAAAGGGTGTTATTGAGATGCACAACTACTTGACTAGTGTGTACGAAGAAGGAGATACTCGTTCCACTCTTCTCACCATGATCCAAACTCTAAACCATGCTAAAAATGGCGTAGACATTTTCTCTGGAACCAAGGTAATGATCTTTTAACGATAACTTCATTACAAGCATTACTCTTTCTGATCTTGTATAACAACTTTTGGTTTATATTTTAGGTACGGACACATTTTGGAAGGCCAAAGTGGAAGAAGGTTTTATCAAAGATTAGCTCCAAACATAGGAATGCAAGAATTGGTAAAACAGAACATATCAGTTTAACAGAATTAATAATCTTTTCATTAATTGTTCTTTGTCTGAAGGAGTTTTAAATTTGGAAAACAAAACAGGAGTGTTCTATTGTGGAGTACCGAGTTTGGGAAAGGAACTTTCAACACTCTGCCATGAATTTAACCAGACGGGTTGTTCCAGGTTCGAGTTCCACAAAGAACAGTTTTAAAGGTATATATGTACAATGGTTCGTCGTTCATGTTTTTGTTTCATATCCTTGTTGTTTTTTAACCTTTGGTGTATCACACTTTTAACCATTTCATCTTACACTAGGACTGTCAAAAATGTTAAAAATAACAGTTAAAAATTGTGAATAAGTGAAAAAAGACAAATAGAAAAAGAGAAATTCCAACAAATTGCAGAACAGAACAATTGTCCCAAAAATTTGTTCCGGTTTAAATGCAAAAATCGAAAATTCTATCAATGTCGGTTCTTGACCGGTTTATAGTTCCGGTTTGAATTGCTTTCTTGTAAAAGGAAATTACAACTGGGCTTCATCATTGTTCAGCTCTTTGGGCCCATATTACAACTCGAGTTAACGCTGTCAACTCTATTAAATTAAATCCTTTTTTTCACTTTCTAGAACATTCCTACTCAAACTTTTTTTAATCAAAAATTTAAAGACGGTTCCAACTTCATTGATTATTTTCCGTCAAGATAAATAATTTTAATTATCATTGTCTTTTGATACAGCCGAACCGAAAGTGCATGATTCACCTAACCCGAATGGTTCTCGTTTCACCACGTGTCACAACACCATTAGTTCGACCAGTCTCATAGTCCAGCCGCGTGACACCTGAACCACACATTAATAAATTGAATGACGGCACCGTTAATCACACGTCGCTAAAGAAGCCGTTAACTATTAACGGCGTTAAACATCTCGCTCGTTTTTATAACGTCCCCCCATGTCTATTTATCGTTTCCCCCAAGCGTCGCTCTAAGTTTAATAAAAGGGAGAGAATATTTGAAATCAACGGCTCAGATCAAAACCATCAGTTCAACGGTTAAGATTAATTCTAATTTCTTCTGTGTTTTTAAGCCTTCTTCCTTCGAGATCCTTCTTCTCAGAAAAGCCCTAGAAGAACATTGATTGAATCGGAAAGCTTCGATCGGAATTAATGGCCGATGAACATAAGCATGAAGAGTCTTCACCTAAGTTGGATCCAGCGGTGGAGGTTGTAGAGAGAGAATCGTTGATGGAGAAGTTATCAGAGAAGATCCATCACAAAGGTGGTGATTCGTCGTCGTCGTCGTCATCAGATGACGAGAACGAGAAGAAATCGTCTTCGTCTCCGAGGTCTTTGAAATCGAAGGTTTATCGTTTGTTTGGTAGAGAGAGACCTGTTCATAAAGTTCTCGGCGGTGGAAAACGTATGTTTTTACTCCGATCTCGTTTTCGTCTGTTTGATTTGGTCGCTGGTTATATATTGATGCTTCGTTTTAGGGATTGGTGAAGAAGATGGTTGATTTAAAGATAGATTTTGTTAATTTAATGATCTTCTTAGATTCTGATAGTTTTGATTGAAGATTTCTAAAATTACATGTTGATTTTGTGAATTTCTCTAATTTAGTGGTGTTGATTTTGGTAATTGCAGCGGCGGATATATTTATGTGGAAGAACAAGAAGATGTCAGGTGGAGTAATTGGTGGTGCTACAGTAGCTTGGGTGTTGTTTGAATTGATGGAGTATCATCTTCTTACTCTGTTATGTCATGTGATGATTGTTGCTCTTGCTGTGTTGTTTCTATGGTCTAATGCTACCATGTTTATTCATAAGTAAGTTTGTGATAAATCCTATGAAAGTGGCTTGCTTGGTTCATATCACAGATCAAAAGCTTAGTTGAGTTGACATGGTTTGTTATTAATTTGGTTCTCTTTCAGGTCTCCACCAAAGATTCCTGAAGTTCATATCCCGGAAGAACCACTTCTTCAGCTTGCTTCGGGGTTGAGAATCGAAATCAACCGTGGTTTCTCTTCTCTTCGTGAGATTGCATCTGGAAGGGATCTCAAGAAATTTCTCTCTGTGAGTTTAAGCTCTCCAGGATTACCTATTTTCTCTCAAATGTCTCATCTTTGAAGCTTGAGAATAATTGTACTGTTTGATTGAATCAGGCTATTGCGGGATTGTGGGTTCTGTCAATCTTGGGCGGCTGCTGTAGTTTCTTGACATTGTCATACATAGGTAATAACCCTTACCAATTCTAATTGTATTACTTTTTTAATTGTGATACAGTGCTGATGAGTGGATAATGGTTCTTGATTGATTCAGCTTTGGTTCTGCTCTTCACTGTTCCTCTTCTCTACGACAAGTACGAAGACAAAGTAGACTCATACGGTGAGAAAGCAATGGCTGAACTGAAGAAGCAATATGCTGTGTTGGACGCAAAGGTATTGAGCAAAATCCCAAGAGGACCTTTGAAAGACAAGAAGAAAGATTAGGTTTTTTTTTCTGTGCGTTTTTCTTTTGAGTGCAATACTCTGGTTAATTAAGATGTGGGTTGTGTTGTGAATTGGTAAAATCTAAAAAAGGTTATGTTGTTAGAGAATCTCTATTCCGTATTTTACCTAACAAGTTTGCTTCTTTACATTTGTTTTTCGGTTTTGGTGTTGTTGTGGGCATGAATGGGGACAAAATTTGTAACTGTTCTCTTGGTCTTTATATATGTATTTATGTATTCTTGATCTTGACTTTAGTGTATCCAATCTATGTGACTTGTATACTTGATGCTTCGATGGCTCAATGTCAACAAGCTCATAGACTTAGGGGTTTTGTTTTAATGCTTGGATATATATTGATTGGATAAGTCATATGTTCAGCAATGTCAGGATGGCCGAGTGGTCTAAGGCGCCAGACTCAAGTTCTGGTCCTCGTAAGAGGGCGTGGGTTCAAACCCCACTTCTGACACCTTAATTAGTTTTCCTTTTTTTTAGTTGTATTCTAGATAAAGTACTTCATATAAAAACTTTGTTTCTTTGTTTGGTTTGAAATTTTGATGTTGTATGGCATAAGGATATGGGCCTCTGCTCTTTAAAGCCCATCATAATTAAGACCCAGCTCCTTTATTTTTTCTTTTCGTAACGGGTTAGTAAGAGCTTGTCAAATGTCAATACAGCAATGCAATTTTATAAGGGAATAATTGACGACATTTGGAAAGATCATAACCATGATTGAGGTCTCTTGATTATAAAAGTCATTTTACTGTGTTCGTAATTACTCCTTAGCACGTTTAGCATCATACACAGACTTGATTTGTGTCATGCATGGAAGCTTCAACGTTCGTAAAATCTACCATGAGCTATAAAGATCTACCATTTGGGTTGGGGACTTTTTTTTAAATTTAATGATGGGACTTGGGACCATGATGTCACTTTGGGGCGATTTTGTAAATACTAAAAGATATGAGGTAGTTTCGTAAAAACCAAAAGATATGGGGTAATTTCGGAGATACCAAAAGATCGGGGGTACTTTCGTAGATACCAAAAGATCGGGGGTACTTTCGTAAATACCAACCAATATGGGGTTATTTCGTAAATACCAAAAGACATGGGGCGATTTCGTAAATAACAAAAGATAAGGGGTTATTTCGTAAATACCAAAAGATATGGGGCGATTTCGTAAATACCAAAATATATGGGGTTATTTCGTAAATACCAAAAGATATGGGGCGATTTCGTAAATACCAAAAGACATGGGCGATTTCGTAAATACCAAAAGATATGGGGCGATTTCGTAAATACCAAAAGACATGGGCGATTTCGTAAATACCAAAAGATATGGGGTTATTTCGTAAATACCAAAAGACATGTGGCGATTTTTTAAATACCAAAAGATATGGGGCGATTTCGTAAAGACCAAAAGATATGGGGCGATCTCGTAAATACCAAAAGATATGGGGTGATTTCGTAAATACCAAAAGATATGGGGCGATCTCGTAAATACCAAAAGATATGGGGCGATTTCGTAAATACCAAAAGATATGGGGCGATTTCGTAAATACCAAAATATCTGGGGCGATTTCGTTAATACCAAAAGATATGGGGCGATTTCGTAAATAGCAAAAGATATGGGCCGATTTCGTACATAGCAAAAGATATGGGCCGATTTCGTAAAAGATCCGATCAACACAATAATATAGAATAACTTTGGGTGGTTTTAAAAATGTCAGAATTCTGAGGTAGTTTAGTAAAAACCAATAAATTTGGGTCGAATCAAAATATCAAATCGTAAATGCAAAAGTATTGAGGTAAATTTGTAAAACATCAATAAATTTGGGGTGAATTGTAAATACTGCAAGTCATAATGTCGTAAATACCAAAACATTTTGCAACATAGATTTTAGTTTTGACATGAGAATTAATTTTTAACTTTGATTTCACATTTTTTGCATCATATACTGGTAAACAAAAACTAATATTTGATTTGTTTCCATGAAAAATATGCACTATGCAAAAATCATGTATAACAAATTAAAACTGTAAGCAAACAATAAAACAAGCTGAGAAGTTTAATTTATGTAGAAAAATAAAAACAATGACGGAAGTAAAGAAAAAATCAAAGAATCAAAGAAGGCAACAAAAGCAAAGAATGAAATATGTGTGTTGAGTAATAAAAACTACATCAGTTAAGTAAGTAAGCAGAGTGTCAGAGAATAAAACAAAGTAAGAAACAAATAAGGCTCTTCAATGAAGTAAACTCAAAGAACCAATAAGGAAGCAAGTTAACCAATTGAGTAGGCAACGATCATATAATCAAAGAAACAAACATGCAATAGTTTTTGACATTATTAAAAACATGTAAGCAATCGGTAAAGAAAAAAGCAAGAAAGCTAAGAAATGAACTAAGCCAAAGAAACAAACAAGAACATTAGAACAAGCTAACAATGTAACTAAAGAAGCAAGCAATGAAACTAAGAAGGCAGTAAATCAAAGAACCATGAAGCAAACAAGTTAAGCAGCAGCGATCATATAAGAAAAAAATGGATTCAAGTAACACAAAGCATGTAAGCAATCAGTAGAAGAAACAAGCAAGTTAAGAAATGAAACAAGCAAAAGAGTACAAGACAAAACAAAAACAAGTTAACATAGTAACTAAAAAAGCAAGCAATGGCCGAAGCAATAAATCAAGAAAGCAAATACGCATGAATGTATGAAAATATGCACACATAAATGTATAATGTATGAATGTATGCATGTATGGGTTGTACACATGAATGCAAGTATGTTTGCACACATGAATGGAGAGAGATTCAAGAATGTATACATGAATGCATGTATGTATGCACACATCTGCATATATGTGTATTGCTGTATCTCCTTTTTCCTTTGGCAGATTGGTATTGGCTCTTCCCTGTTGAAAAAAACATATTTATTAATTGAATTCAAGACGGAAAAATCTCAATGATCTTACCTGCTTAGGAACAAGAGCCTTTTATTTACAATACTCTGATGCATTCATGTTTCTCTTCCTAAATCATGTCAATTTCACTCGTCTCGTAGATAATCTTCTCTTAGAGACCTTTTCCTTCACCGTGAGAGGGTAAAAGAGATCAGAATATAATATTTCGCAATCAACAAAAACAACAAATGATAAGTAAATATTCTCAATTCTGCAGCTAAATAAACAAACAAGAGATTACTTCGTGTGAAATTTTTTACTTTAAAAGAATTTTCATTGGTCTAACCAGATCTTGACTTTGAACTTGAATGGCTGCAACATAAACAAAAAAAACAAAGTGTGAAAAGTGATACTAGCCAAATGGTGCTTGATCGGTTAAAAGAGGTTGGAAAAACATACTTGGGAGACGGACTCAACTTAGGAAACCAGAAGATGACGCATGACCATCTTAGAGCTCCATTGCGATAGACCTGAGTTAAGCACAACAGTGTATGAGATGTACACATCATTATATGAGACAACACAAACTTACAACGTATGCTATATAAGGTCTCTCTTTGATTTGAGTTAGGCTTCCTACAAATTGGTTTTCTTGCTCCGGTTCTTGGCTTCTCTTTGTAGCTGTATATTACACAAATCAAGGGATTCATTGATGTATTTGTGCATATATCTCAATGAAGAGCACCTATCCATACAGACATTAAGAAACTAATAATTCTATGTATAGAAATTCCTTAAGAAATTGATAACTTACAAGTGGTATACAGAGGCTTAGCATAGTTCATGGCCATCATTCTGCTCGTATTATTAGGAGATGCAAGTTCTTCAATCAATTCTTGAACTACATTTTTACAAATCAGGGCATTCATTATGTATATGTGGATATAAGAAGGTTTAACATACCTAACAGAAGCATCAAATTCTAACCACTCAAAGCCTGCACTCTGAATTCAAACACCAAAACATTACTTCTTCCAAGCGAACCAAACCCACAATATCGATACCGAACAAAGACAAAAAGACAACTAATTATACTGTTACGGAGATATGATATTCATAGTGCAGGACATATGTAGACAATTTGATAGATATTAAGTGACGAGGATTACCAATATTTCATACCTTTCTTATCGTAAAGTTCCCTCTTGTAAAGTTGTAAAGCAACCGAAAAACAAAACCCTAAGTACCAAACCGAAAAGGCAAAAACCAAAATCAGAATGATGAGAAAGTCAAATTAATATGATGAGTGGTATATATTGAGCTAAAGAAGACGAAACACTTACTGTTTATAGTAAAGTTCCCTCTTGTAAACCAAAGAAATAACAAAGAACGCTCAGTACCTATCAAGAAAGGCAAAGAAACCAAAAATCAGAATGATGAGGAGGAAAAATTTGTAATAATGTTGAAATGACAGTTGTATGAAGGCTCTGATAGTCATTAGGTTTTGGGGTAGCAATGTTATCTTCAAACTTGAACAAAAATGTTAGATACCAAGACATTATACACCTTTTACAATCAGAAGAACCACGAGAGTTTCACTGACCATCCTAGTATTCTACACCTAGTGTCCATGCAAAGCAAAAACATAGCAATAAGACCAATTAACAAAACCTCACTCATGATGATTTTAACTAGTTACAGTTAAAACTAATGACATATCTGAAAGAAGCATCAAATTCTAATGACATATCACGATCACCAATACTATTACCTTTTAGTCTCCTCAAACCATTCGAAACCTGCATTCAAAATTCAGATATTAAGGCGTTAATTCTTCCAAAGTATAACATATAATTAACAATTAGTATAAGAAATTATGTCTCACCGAAAACAATTAATCTTACCAATTGAGAGAATTGTAGCAAACATCACATCTCTTGAATATAACATTGTCCTTCAAAAACCAAATGCTCAAGTAAAATCTCACAAGATTGGTTTCTTGAGTAGATCCAAAAAACCAAATGTATTTTAGCGAACACTTCCTTTCAAAATCGAATGAACCATGATAAAATTAAGATATTACCAAACATTAACAGTAACTAATGACATACCTCAGAGACCTGCACCTTTAATTCAAATATCAATTCGTTAATTCTTCCAAGTGAACTAAACCTTCAATACCATCTTGAACAAAGAAAGCCACACAAAAACTAAAACGATGATTGAATTCCAGTAGAATTAAACTAATAGTGCAAATTCTAGACTCAATGTCTTATCTTTAAAAGCTTGAGTACCCTGTCATAACCCAATGGAAGAACAATACCCTCAACACAACACAAGAAAGAAAGAAATCGAGATAACGAAACCGAATTACAGAGGGGGCTTGCCAATATTTCTAACCTTTTTAAGTGTTTATAGCAAAGTTCCCTCTTGTAGACCTGCCAAAGAACAAAATTCTCAGTACAAAAACAAAAAACAAAACAGAATGATGAGGAAGACGAATTATTATGATGAGTGGTATATATATTGAGCTCGAGAGAAAGAAACACTTACTGTTTATGGTAAACTTGTTAACCAACCGAAGAACAAAACCCTCCAGAACCAAACACGAAAGGTAAAAACCAAAAATCAGAAGAATTATTACGATGACTGGAGTATATTGAGCACAACAAAAAGAAACACGTACTGTTACCTGCATATTTTAACCAAAACCCCATGAAAGAAGTCATTGTTGTAGCCGTAAATGGTAGCTATAAACTCTTGCAAAACTACTATTCCAACATCAATCATTGCTGATGGTATTATGATCTAGGCAAAGGAACCACCAGAGTCTCACCAAACATTCTACCCATAAAATCCATCAAAAGCACTTAATAATAATAATTCCAATTAAAAAAACCTCAGTAATGCATTTTAAATAGTAACAGTTAAGCTAATGACATACCTCCAGGAGGCATCAAATTCTCATGACATATCAGTGATATGATATCAAGATCAACAACACTAATCCCTTTTACCTTCTAACAATTCAAAACCTGCATTCTATATTCAAAAGAAAAAGGGAATTAGAGGTGTGAATATTCAAAAGTAAGGACATACCTTTACGATGATCAATTCTCATAACCTTAGGAAAAAGTCGCCCACGCATTCAGTTCTAACCTCTGCTGCGGCCTGTTTAAGAAATTTTGACTACGAAAAGGATAAGGAAGAAGCAAACTGAGTTTAGGAAAAGCACAAGTTGTGTACTCCATTTGTGTACCACTATATTTACACCAAAATAGACTAGGATTGCCAGTTGCTGACTCTATTTCTTACCTTTAAAAGCTTGAGTGTCCTCTCATAACCTAATGGAAGAAGAAAAATCAAATTCTAACTACGCAAAGCCTGCACTATGAATTCAAACACCAAAACATTGATTCTTCCAGGTGAACCAAACCCTCAATACTTCTTCTAAGTAAGCAAAACACTCAATACCGGATACCAAACAAAGAAAAAGAGACGCTGAGACAGAAAAAAAAAAAGTAGCCAAGCCAACAACAGAGAAATTCAACTTAATGCACGAGATCCAGAGAACGTTAAAAATTACACTAAAAAGTAAACATTATATGTATAAATAACTGTAGAAGCAAGCAATGAAAGAAGTAAAGCAAGCCAAAAATAAGTAAGCGAGGAAACAAATTAAAGTTAAGCAAACAATAAAACAGGTAGATAAGTTCATGTAAGAAAACAATGACGAAAATATAAAAATAAAACAAATAAGCAACGAAGAGAATAAGTGTGCTAAGCAATAATGACTGAATCAGCTAAGTAAGTAAGCAAATAGAGCAAGAAACAAAGAAGGATGTGCAATGAAGTAAATCAAAGAACCAAGAAGCAAACAAGTTAAGAATTGAGTAGGCAACGATCATATAATCAAAGAAACAACACATGGAATAAAGTAAACAAGTTAAAACATGTAAGGAATTAGTAAAAGAAACAAGCAAGGAAGTCAAGAAATGAAACAAGCCATAGAAACAAACAAGAACAAGCTAACAAATGTAACTAAAGAAGCAAGCAATGACCTAAGCAATAAGTCAAGAAAATCAAATACGCATGAATGTACGAATACATGTATGCGCACATGAATATATCAATGTTGCATTGATTCTCAAACCATGGATACTAAATCCAACAACAACAAAAAAGCAGAGGTTCATCACCATAAATATTAGCACAAAGACAAATATCTGAGAAAGATCAAAACGAAACTTGGATCAAAAGGGATGCAGAGAGAAACGAAACGAAACTCATAACATAATCTTGTCTTCCATGAGAAAGACCTTTTCCTTCACCGTGAAAGATGATTAAACCCTTCAAAAATTATATTCCACAATCAAAGAAAACAACACAAATTATATTTCACAATTCTGCCTCATCGGTAACCATTAATTTCACACCAAAGTGATATGATCATACGAACCCACTCAAAACCTCCGGAAACTTCTATATAATTTTGAGAACAGTGTCGAAATAATCTCTCACTCGCAGATAATTATGGTAAACCTTCGTTAGTTATATAAAATCAAATTAACGAGGAAGAAGATGAAATTGATAGAAATCGAAAAGAGACCCAAGCTTCGGTTTGTTACCTTCTTTGATTCTTTTGTGATTTGTGCGAGTGAGACCTGAGACGGATCCATTGGAAGAAACTAGAATTAGAAATTAAAGAGAGACGAGGATTGAAGAAGATATAAATCTGAGAATTTGATTTGTTTCTCTCGTAACCCTAACCCTAGCCCATGATCAAAAGAAGCAAATTTGAGAGAGAATGAAAAATAGAGAGAGATTTATCGATTCTCAAGTATGGTTTGAATTTACTTTATACGCTGGAGGAAATCTTTTCGAAACGGTCACAAAATCTTCATTAAATGTCTTTCAAATTAAAATAATCTCAGCCGTCCAATTACTAGTGAAAACATGAATTGAATGATTTTTAACCGTTCAATCACTCTTCATTGTTTAGATTGGGCCTAATGAGCAAAGAAACAAAATAAAATCTAATAAGCAAAGAAACAAAACAAAACACACCACAATTAGATTTTTTTTTTTTTAAATTAAAAAGAGAAAAACATCTTTCAAATAAATTGTGAAATATGGATCTTCAAATATACAATAATATTAAATAAACATGTCTTCTATTTTTTTAACATCGATAAAAATGTCATTTAAAATATGAAAATAGATCATATGCAATATTCGTAAAGTTATATATACTATAGACACAATCTCGATTAATTGTATGACAAGCCATATGTTTGTGAATGATATATTCCAACGTAATTCATCTGAAGCCAGTTTCAGAGCCCACTTAACAACATTTTGGCCCATATTGGGCCCGTTTTCTTATCAGTATATGTTTTTTGTTTTCAGCGTGTGTATGTCAAGTTGGAAACAAAATGAAAATTTATGAGAATCTTATCTACAAGTTCCATGAACTAAATTAAAAAAAAAAAAAAAAAAAAAAAAAAAAAAAAACCTATGCAATTCATTACTTTCTTTTTATTTTTGTACCAAAAAAAAAAAAAACTAAGAGTAGCTAGAACAACTTGGTAGAGAAAAGCAAATAATGTGTGCTAGTGATAATGGTTGGTATAAATATTTATAATATATCAATTGTTCAACATAGTCAGGATGGCCGAGTGGTCTAAGGCGCCAGACTTAAGTTCTGGTCCTCTTACGAGGGCGTGGGTTCAAACCCCACTTCTGACATTTACTTTTTTCTTTTCTGATTTTTTTTTCTTTTTAATTTCTTTTCCAAATGATTACTATAAGTTTATAACTCCTTTTTTTTTTCAACCACACATTAAATAAATAAATACATTACCAAATTCGGATAAAATAATATGATGTAGACTAAAATGGTGAATCTTGAAGCATATTGTAATAATATTACTGTTGGAGTGTTGAGGATCCAATTCTTATTTCTCAACAAAAATCATTGTAACAAAAAGCACCAAACCATTATTTCACCACAACCTTGTCAATGTCATACATTCATATTCAGGTATCAGCACATGGTTCTCTAAGCAAAAATATGGCCAATCGTCTAATCATGTCGACCATGTTCAATTCTTCGGGTAACTATTTTTTTTGCATACATGAGAAACCATGTATGGATTCTATAATTCCATGGTTTTTTTTTAAAACTCAAAAATGATTTGTAAATACGAAATTTATTATTTGACAAAATTGTTACCAAAAAAAAAAGTTACTGATTCTTTAAATTTGACAACAAATAAAATTAAGAACTCAAATACACAATTTTATTTTTTTTATATACCAAAAAGAATCTGAAATACTGTACAAGACCTAATTCCAAGAAAAATTAAGCATAAAATTAAGAATCTGAAATATTGTACTTGTAAATTAAAGACTTAATAAAATTAAAATGCTCTTGTTTTCTTATATATTGCAATTATCACATTCATGAATTAATATAGGACAACAAACATGTTTTAAGGAAATTAAAAATATCGTACGTAACTCCTTAAATTGCCATAATATAAACACAACGGAATTGACAAAACAACAACAAGATTTTATAACCTTAATGAAAAATTTCAAAAGAACAAAATAAAATCAAAATAAAATAAAAAACCTAGAAGATAGTAGTAGAGAAGGAGCCGATATAAAAGACCTAGGTAGGTTCGAAGATGATCGAGCCTATCTGCCGTTCCATGACTTGCCGGTTCAACCCCACTGCTTTAACCGGAACAGTTTGAAGAAAATCATCAATATAATCACGACCGGTTAAGTATGGGAGTGAACATTGATGTGTGTTCTAAGCTATATTGGTGATAACCCTTCGTTCCACCTAGCTTCCATGGAAGCTTAGCTCAAGATGAAACTCACCCCCATTTTTGGAATCAACCTTGTAGAGCTTTTGAGTTTCATCCAAACTTAGGGAGGTCTTGATCTTGATTAAACTTCCATGGCTAAAAATGGGGAGAGAGAGAGAGAGTCTTTCTCTTTCTACTTGTTGTCTTTATATATAGCATCCTTTTGCACACACAAGAAAGTCTTTGTTATCTTAATTTATGTAACCGATGGCTTTGGATGTTAATAAAGAAAATCTCCTTTATTTTTAAGTGTCTTCTTCTTGGTAAAAGTAAAAGACACTGTCACACTAAAATTGTCTTTCTACTACTCCAAATCCAGATTATATATAATTGAGAGAATCTTTGGCTCCAAGTAATAATATACAAACCTTACTACTACTCAAATTGAATTGTCTTATTTTCTTGGCTGAATCTTTGGCTCTTAGTGATTTTGGTAAAAGACACTAAGACCGACCTCATCGGCAGAGACCCTCAATGTCTCTCAAAATATTTTATTTAATTATTTTCTTTTAATATTATTATTTGTTTAAATTAAAAACAAAAATAAAATAAAAAAACTATCCTATTATAAAGTGACAGCAGAGGAGAACCGATTATCTGGAGTTCTCATTTGAGAGACTAATTACAGCTTCTCTCTTCCTTTATTGTTATTTAATATTTTTTAATTAATGAGAACCTCGCCGTTGAGGTTGCCCTAAAATTGTCTTTCTACTACACAAATCCAAAGAATCCTTATTATATATTTAATAATATTATACCTTTTAAAATAACTAGAAACTTCTAAATCTTAAATCCGCCTCAAATGAGAAACCGAAACATATTAATGAGTACTCTCCTATTAACCGTACTCGAATTCGTGGTTTGTGTAGCTTGCTTACACTAATAAACTACCTCTACCATATTATTATTCATTTTTACCAAACAGTTTTGGACTAGCTAGGTGACCCATACATTCTCTACATAAAAAATCAAAAAAGATTAATAGTTCTTGTTGTCACCATAATGTATTCTTGGTTAAACTAGTTGAGCTACCGGATTATAAAATCAAAATCTTTTTAAGTGGAAGACAATAGTTAGTACTCCTGAGTAGATTGCCACCAATTATGCACTCTACAATCGACTGCTCAGGTTACAAATCATTGTAGGGTAATAAACTTAAAACCCACTTTTTATTTTACTAAATTACACTAATTTACAATTATTAATGTAGAGTGCAAAACCAATCAAAGTTCTAGAGTGCGTGTGAGGGACCCCAAGTCCACGACCAATCTCTTTTAATTTTGCTGTCTGCTTGTCTATTTTCAATTGGCCATTCCTCTTTTTACTCAATTTTAATTTTGTAATTTCATACAAAAAAATGAATATTTCCATGAAATGTTTACTCTGTGTCCACTAAGTCACTTGGCTTTTTGAGAACATGTAAAAAAGCATAAAGTGATTTTACTATTAGTTCTGCTGCAAATTATAAGGAGAGACTTTACCAAAAGGAAAAAAAAAAATAAAAAAAAAATTAGTCATTTCACTTGTTCCAAATTCAAGAAAGAATCATATAATATATGACCACAGAAAGAAAGAATAGTATAAGAAAAATAAAATTTTATAAGAAACAAGAAAAGAGTGGGACACGTCAATAAACCAATCAATTGATATTATGATCCACTTTAACTTTTAAGATTATCTTTTTAAAAAGCTTATACAACAAAATAAAAATGGAACACTACCACTGGTTGCAGCCTGGTTTGAGTTCTTGCAATGAGTAGGGATGTTATACCATGTGATTATGTTGTCTAATCCCATCCTGAACTCATGCAATCGTGGACATCATTCCAAATTTAGGTCTCTTCCTTGTTTATAGAATGTACCTATAATCCAAATGATCATGTGGGACTCAACTTTTAAAAATGTAGCAAAAGAAGGAAAGATTTGGCCTTAGTCTATTTAGACACCTAACACCTTATATGTTTAAAACTTGGTAAAACAAAATACTGTTTTGCGCTAATTTACAAGATAATCTTATGATCAAGAATCAAGAGTCCTTAACCGTGAAAACAATAAGGATTGAGAGGATATGAGCTTATTATAACGAGGTATGGATCGTTTCTTCTCTAGCACTTCAAATGAGAAACAACATTAAAGGAAACATGATTATTATATACATAATATGATCCAATCAAAGTTCAAAGAGCTCGAAATCGTTAAAACAACAAAGATTAGTATGGTAAATGTTATCTAATTAGGTATAAATACTATCATAAGAATTAATTCAAAATATAATCTTATTCTAAAGACCACACTTGCAAACTAGTTGGGATAGTTAATTTTATCTATTGTTGTGTTCCAATAGTACACGTTTGAATCCATTCTTAGTACCTTATGAGATTATTTTTTTCTTGACTCACATTTTCATTTTTTGCCTCAAAGTTTCCTTTGTTTTGCTTTCATTTTGCTTTTTTTTTTTTCTTTTTTTTTTTAATTGGGTTTTTCATTATTTGTTCTTTCATAAGTTCACTGATGTTTTGATTCCTTTTTACTTGACAAGATATTTGATCGATACCATTAAGAGATTTGCAAACATAGGACTGGCCCTGATCGTCTTCTCGAGAATGTGTATCGTTTTGTCAAAGCAAACTGGGGTGGGAGATTCCCAACAAGTATTTGAATTCATCTTGTGTCATTTCTACCTATTTCCATTGCGTTGCTCTTCTAAACCTTGTCTACATTAAAAATGACTTTGGTGTGGTGAATGTTTCTTCTTTGTTCATGATGAACATGTTAAAATTGGCTGTTCACGTCTATTAAGATAGCGACAACGTCAGAAGGAGGAAGAGCTTTTGAGGATTATTCATTATTCCATGGCTCTGAGAATCTTGTGTTTGTTTTTCCCCATAGATACCAAATCATATTGTATGTCAATAAAAATATATCATGTCAGTAGATAATAATATAACGTTGAATAAAATGAATGTTCA